AGCTGCGTTCATCCACTTACGCATGAGATCATTTCTTTATTTAATGAACTCAGTAGCTAGTAATGTTAGATAATGATTAATGTTTCAAACGGTGAATTTTTTTTGACAATGTCGATCTGCTTTATATAACAATGGGAACAATAACGTTTTATAATAGTTTAATTCATCATAGTTTAGTTTCTGGAATGTATATAGTCATATGGATGAACCATGAGGTTGGAGTAACCTTTTCTAGTCACGTAGGCGCAAAAAAAAATTGCATGTTTATCCTACCCTCGTATTACAGGAAAAAGCTTTTCGGTCTCTCTAAAGTGCAGAGATATTCTAGTTTTCATTATTTTTACACTCATGATTGTTCTACTCGATACTGTTTAAAATATTTATTTAACAATAAGTAACACACATACGACGTTACGCAAGTTATATTGAAATATTGGATTTGGATATTGCATATAAATCATAAAGTTGATTTTTACTTATTTATTTCACTATAGAGTATTTTAACTTATGAGAAATCTTAACTTTTTATTATTCGTTATATTAATTTATTCTATGATGTTTGAATTAAATTGAAAAAAATAAATATTAAGCAAAGTGATTGAAATAAGTATTTATGACGGATTGAAATTGACAATCATCCTTCTGTGCAGTCACAGTGAAACTTTACAGATAAAAACTGACATTCACTCAAACATCTTCGATGAAGAGAAAAATGAGTTAGCTTTATCGTTAGATTACGGGCGTAACGAAAGTTGTTTCAAAAATTTAAAAAAGCAATAACGCTCCGAGGAAAATGTAACGTTGCAATAACAGCATTGGAATTATAGCGTAAGGCTCGCAACGTTGCAGCGTTACAGCTTCAACATTAGAACTCCAGCGTTGAATCTCCAATGTTCTACTTATATATTATGTGTGTGCGTGCGTGCACGCGCGCGCGCGTATAGTCGCAATCACTACTTTACGCGCAGTATGGCAAATACAGAATTTTGAATGCTGTTTTTTAAAGCTTTCGCAAAATACTACAGTTAACATTTTTTTGAATAAAGAACATGAAACATTAAGATATCAATACATCGAGGAGCATATATCGAATCAAAAGTGAACTTTAAAAAAAAAAATTTCAATTGTTTCTTTGTTTTCGCAACGCTCTTTAATAATAATTTAGATTCTACGATGATCAATTGATTTATTGGTAATTTTTTCCATAGCTGTAGTTGCATTTGAAAGGTAAAGTCATATTACTCGTTTTATAATTATAAATTGCCTTGCTTAAATCGTATTTCCCATGTTATTAATTATAGCTGTAGGTGCAATTTTCTTGCATAACTGTTAGATCACGTTATAAAATTGATAGGTAGAGTGTCAGACCGAGTGATTGTAAATTCGAATGTAAACGTGTGCCAAAGCTACAAACGTACAGTGACTTTCAAAAGAAATAATCTAAGTAACGTTGCTCTTTGAAAATAGTCATTTCGTGATGACGTAAGGTGGATAATTCGCATCGAAAATCAAGGATACCTTAAACTTTATTCTCTAAATGAAATTCACAACTTCAACTTATTTATTGATTTCACCATGTGTTAAATATTATCTTCGTATTTTAGGCATTTTTTCTTCTTATTGTACATAAATAGTACGATTGAACGATGAATATTGATGAAGGCAAGATGTAACATTTTTAATGCTCAAAGTCGAAAGGAGATGTTAAATTTGATTTCCAACTCAAGAAAGCAGTATAAATAAAAAAGTGAATTTATTCGACAGTTTATTTTGATGCTTTGGACTTGAATTAATAAATGAATTGTATAGTATTGTTAATCTGATACTTTTATTTTGCGACAATTATCATCTCCACATTCCAAACATAAAATCGCTCTAATGCTGCTTATTCTTGACTTTTATGAGGAAAAATCTCGAAATTCACTGCTTCTAACAGGTACGGAAAGTCTTTCCGACGAAACTCATTACAACACTCGTCTTCAGCTCGTACCAAAAACTTCCAGATATTCCAGAGAAAGCCTTTACTTATCGGTAATAGGAAACGTATTATTTTTTAGATTATATCGTTGTTCAAGATGAATTCGATAATAACCGATGATTAATGATAAAATAAATAATATAAATAGTATCCGATAGAAGAATTTTTACATTCAATTTAATTACTTCAAGGAAGTTAAATTATTTTAACAAAATTATTTGCGGTATCACTTTCGCGGCACGAATAATTTTAATTACTATTCAATTAGAATAAGTCGAGCCGGTGAATAATTATTAATGAGTTCAATGGCACAAAGAGAAATGAGAGATACATGCTTCTGACACGCTGGTTGTTATGGCAAGGGGTTTCCTTGACTTTCATGGACACGCAAAGTTCCGCGAGTCTCTGCGTTGCATTGACCTATATCAGCGTCAACTCATGTTTCCTTGGGAAATCGGCATTCGTCTGTCGCGCGCCTTAACGAAAGCTCCCAATGCAAATCGAAACTCAACTCCCGAGCGCGCAAGCGACGCTCTACCATCTCTCGAATCTCGTTTACATGCAAATGCAGCTAACCTTTAAGGTGCAGACTTCCAAGGCGTCGACACTCTGCTCCAGGGACGACTCTCTCTTTCTCTTTCCCTCCTCTCTCTCCCTCTAGTAGTAGTATTATTCGATCAATTTTAAAATTTCAGCATTGCAATTGGAATGTAAATAATGCATGCGCTACAGCTCCTCGATTGCGTTTTAAACATTAGTGGAAATTCTTTCGATTTATCCATAAACTAGTAATTCAATGAAACCGAGTAAAATCTTTTATTCTTATTTAGGGGTATTAAGCAATCTTCAATTAAACAAAATATATATTGAAATAGCGATTAATAAGCTGCAATAATAAGCAAAAGCTTTTATTATTCATATTTTTTATCGTTGATGGGGTTGGCAGGTAATATAAAAAACTTTAAGATATTAATAATGACTTTTTAAATATTTTGTGTGGAAGAGAAAAAAGAACGAGTGAAAGTGGGTAGTTTTTTGTGCAGAGGTATCAGGGAAAAAATTATTCGTGAAATATAATTTATAAAAATCTCAATACTAGACTTTTTAATATATATTTTTAAGAACACCAGTCTCACAAGTAAATAAAATGTGCCTGATTTTCCTGATATTTTTCATTAATGGCTATCGCTATTTTATTATACTATACTACTTCTCAAACGTTAGTAACGTATTTCAAGAATTAATTGTAGAAATATAGTAGTTTATATTTTTCTGAAAGTGATAATAGATACCCATGTTAACTATATCAATTAGTGATGACGCATTGGACTTACTAGTCATAGCATAGGTAACATCAACTGCTTCAACTATCAAGTAATAACAGGAAACTAAAGCTTAGTCAAATGATATTTTGTAGTCAACGATTTCTAATAAAAATAAAAAAAAAACGCACTCACGTGATTATCGTTTTGCAATAGTAACGGCGTGAGCGACCACTTGTAAGCGTTGTAACAGCAGAACTAAACTAAAAAAGAGCTAGCTAGTGGTTGTTGCAAGTGTTGGAATAATTGCAGCAAAAAATACCGGTCTTGAAATATCCATCGCGCATAAGGCTAACTTATGATACCCTACTTCCTTAATCCTTCTTGAGCGAGCGGCTCGTTTCGTAAGCTTTTCAACACACCGTGCAGAAAGTACGACTTTGCAGCACGCGCGGCGAAAAACGTGTTCTCAAATTCGTGTTTCAAGTTGTTTTGAAAAATACCGTATACCTAACATGTTCGGAAAAAAGATTCTCATCGCCATTGTCTCGTCAGCTTCATTTCACTTGGGCGTAAATCTCACACGTGACCAGAAACTACTTTGCCGCACTAGTTATGTAATGTACTATTTCATTGGACTCGTAAAAACTTGACTGACGTAACGCGAGATCGCGTCAAACGGGAGCAGCCGCAGTAGCGGAGCACGCAACCAAACAAAAACCATGTAAGAATCTCAAGTATGCTATGTAAGAGAGCAGCGAATGAAAGTTTACTTATACGCGCGCTTATTTATGCTTGTGTGCGTATCCTAAAGTTGACCAACAGGTTGTTTAGCCTACGCACCTTTTGCTTATGATGATTACCCACTGGTCTTCGCAATATTATTGCCACGTGCTTATTCTTCAAGGTTATATGAGTTGAAAACTAGCTGTAGAGTGTCATTTTTACGTAAAAGAAAATTAGTTATGAATTGACAAGTAAAAGATCATGTCATTGGATATGAATTATTATTTTTATGACGATGTTCATGGATTTCGGCATTTTATTGATTATATATTAATAATTCCGATTTAGCAAAGCGTCATAATGCAATTCCACTTGATTACCATAAGATGTATCACACGGCTGACCTTTCGATGATCTTCGATAGTGGAATGACGCGCCCATGATGCCCCGCCGAAAATGAGTGCGAGTATTGTGAGTAATAGCAGACATTACTATAATTCATTTGTAAGTAAATTCACACGAGTAATCCTTAAATAACGAGTTAACATCCTTAAGTAATAGGTTATGGTGATTCGACATTATATCCAATGACAAAAAATCTATTTGCGCTTATTTTAAAATGTCAGAAATTGCCAAGAAGGAATTGGATTTTTATTGACTTGTCTGAATAATTTTAAATCCAAAATTTTTTCTTGATCAATACGTTTTGCGATGCTCTTTCGAAAACAATGTTTTCCTTGTATTGAAACAAATTGTTGACAAATCAAAACTCTGTAACGTATATATTGATCGAGCAAGTTTTTATAAGTATAGCGCTGGAGAGTATAGAGATTGACCAACTGGTTGCTCCAGCGAGAAAAGTAAAATACAGGCCCAAATGAAAGTTAACTGGCAAGCCGCGTGCTCGGCTGTAGACCCCACTACTTTTTTTATTCTTCTGGCTGGAAGTGAGAGGCCTGGGAGTGCGTGTGTGCATATACGTGTGTTATGACTCGGGCACGGATCTTTTGGGTTGGCTATCTCAGTTGTCCATGATGTCTCTCCGCGAGTGGTACGGTGAACAGGAGATCCTCCTGACTGGAGTGACCAGTGAACTCGGGCATAATTTGCTCGAGAAACTATTGCGATGTTTTCCTCACGTAAAAATCCATGCGGTACTAAGGTCAAGGGAAGGCCTAACTCAAACCGATCGCGTTCACAAGAAGATTTGGAACTCAGCCGGGTATGCTATAATAGCTCCGCCTCTGTATTCCATCTATAGTCCATTGTTTCTTTTTTATATTGATTTCCAAAGCGCTTGTTACTGATTTTTTTATCAATATGTATATCGCGTTAAGTTAGACTTTCCCACGGCTCAGCTGCAATGATTTGTTGGTACCGTGGTGGCGTATAAGCGAGACAGCGCGAAACACAAACGATAGCACGTGTCATGTGCACACAAGTAAACGTGTTGTTTTCATGGCGAAATTTGTGCTCTCGCGTTGCAGTGCTTTACGCGTTTCTTATAGTCATTTAGATATTCTCTTACTGATAGTAATTAAAATAGCTCCATCAGTTGTAACCAATGACAGTATGAAATAATGATACTTGACAGTAGCTTCTGGATGCTGTTATAAAAAAGGAAAGTTACCAACCTGATTTAAAAGAGATACATCAAATTCACCTGCTACGTCTTCGTTAGATATAATGTTAGAATCGCTCGAGCGATTGGATCAATCTAATATTATTCAACATGCTCATTTCTGCCATTAATACAATAATTTGATGAAAGGATCCCGGCATAACACGGTTTGTCGTGGTGATCACATTAAATCCTAGATATTAACATATTATATTTTTCAATCTTCAGTATTACGAGTATGAAAAATTTAACACTTTTATATTGTGAAACGTTAACTAAAGAGATGCAGAATACTACATATTCATTGTTGTTCTGGTCAATCTTTCATTTGGTGAAAATTGACCTGTAAAGTAACTTTCTGAAATATTTTGTTTTTGTCATATCTACTTGTCATACTGTTTTATTTGTCGTCTAGACTTTTACTTGTTATACTATGTATCGTCATAATGACCAGGCATGTTTTATTATTTATATTTTTTTATCAAAATAATAAAACCATAGCAAAAAATAAACTCTGTACTTCTTTTATTATCCATTCGTTCTACAATATAAATTACCAGTTTCAATAGTACTTTTCTTCAACGTACGTGATAAGAAAATAAAATAATTTACACTGAAATAACATGTATTATTGGATTTTTGAATATTAAATTGATTATTGAATTTCAAAATATATACAAATCTATAGTTTAATTTAAGTAAATGTGGTATTTTGGATATTTATCAAGGATTAAACGAATGTATTTAATTTGTACGTAATTAATTAAAAGAAATTAGCATGGAAAATAAATCAATTGAGAAAATCTATTTTCTCATGAAATGTGTAAAATGTATGACAAAAAATTTCGAAAATTACTTAACTTTACAGAGATTTTTCCACTTTGATAAATTAATCATTATTTTTTAAAGGTAACGTTTTGAAAATATATAATTGACTAATCTTACCTTCAAACACTCACTCGACTTTTTCATTGAAATGGATATTTCTTAATACATTAAAAATGCATCCAAATCTTACATATAATTAAGAATAAAGTTATTTCAAATGTTTCAATCCTGTTTATTATTTGGTATTGATCAACTCAAATATCTTAAATAACAACCTGTAAGTATGTTTTCTACAAGAGATATGATGAAAGAGTTGAGTGAAACAGTTTTTGCGAAAGAAGCGCAACTTGTATTTCGTAAAATATTTAAGTGTAAACGGTTACAGTGTGGCACGAACTAAATGCTCAACTGGAAACTTGCAGGTTCGAACGCCTACGTCAGGAACGTCCAAATGCAATGTCAAGGGTCGTATGTTACGAGGGTAACCTCGTCTACAATAACCTTGGAGTTCGTGAAGAGGATCATGAATCAATGGCAAATGTTAGTTTGGTCTTTCACACAGGTGGATCATCCGAAAAACTGCTCGCTTACTGTCGCAAGCTGCCCAAGTTGCGAGCAGTCGTTGTTATCGGCGATCTTTTCAGGTCAGGCGCGAAATAGGCTTATATTATTTCTTTTCTTATAAACTTACTTTCATATAACTGCACCTGTCATTATTGTCTCTTTTAAACCTTGTTTTACTTTGAACAGTGGTGAAACATGAATCTAATCACGTGACCGATGCTTTTTTTGCGCTGTATGATCATAAATAATATTTTTCTTATTTACTGCAAAGTACTGTGCTAATCATGGATTACCGTTAATTGATATTCTATTTGGATGTTTTTCTTGATGGATATAGTGATCCATAAATTGAGGTTGTTTTTTATAAAAAGTTCATTTACGAAATGCGAGTTTGTGGGGCAAATCAAGGGTGAGTGCTGCAAAGCATTCTGAAAATAAAGCACTTTCGTATCAGTTCACAATTTACTTTTTCAGCACGTAGTTGAAAATATGCGGCGGAGGTGTGATTTTAAGGTTAGAGTGTGAAAAAAATTATTTCGTAACCAAGAAAGTAAACGTGATGTTTTGTAGACAATACTGTCCAAACATTCGCAAAGCAATCATGAAAACATATAATTATCATCTATACAAACTATAACATAATAGTTGTGAGAATTGTTAGATAAAATCAATTATTAAAGTTTTATTTTTAGGCTGATGATCATACCACCGTAGTAGAAATATGTTCAGCACGGCATAGATGTAGTTGAAAATCAGTCAGTCTTAATTTACATAACAAACTTATTTACTGTAGGCTAATATTTGTCATACTTGGAAGACCTATCTGTATAGCTCATGAAGGAGTAAATTGATCGTAAAAGAATCAATTGAAAAATTTACTATTACAACAGTATCGCGTTCAGAAAAAGACATAAAAGGATTAGACATTACTTATTTTTTCTATATGTCCTTACTATTAACATGGACAATATATAATATTATAATAAATAGGTTCGATGAAATAATGGAATAACTTATATAGGAAATTAATAAGAATTATTTTGTCATTGTTTCCCATTTCTCAAAGAAAAAATTTAGTGTACGCACATCTTACTAACGTCATATAATGATCTATACAGCCTCGTAAGCGACCAGATGAATGAGAAATCATTAGAAGGTGATCCTGATTATCCTGGTGACTTGCCGTTAGTAGTTGTACGATTACCACCAATAGGCCCAGCACATCGAGACCCTATGCCTGGTTATGTGGAAAAATTGCGAGGGGCTACAGCATTGATGGTTGGAGCAGGTCACATGTACGGTCGAGCTGATTTACCCGTACAAATCGCTCCGATGGATATTGTGATAAACACTTTTATCGGCGCTGCTTGGGAACTGGATAAAATGTCAGTATTGAATACTTTTTATTATTTGTTTTGTTATTTTTTGCTCCGAAGAAGAAATAAAATTGTGCCGAAAAACATTCTACTGCGAAAAAAGTTTGATCCATAAATTGCCGGATATACAGTACTGCAGTATGTTACATTATGCTTCCTTTTGAAAAGATGAGAGTTATCATTACATTTAAAAAAAACATTAAAATTTATGTCACGCATTAATGTCACGTTGCTACATCGCAAAGCAAATTCTGTATGCAAGGCTGAGTCTGCAGTTTCCGAGCTTTTAGCGCCACGTACGTTTAGAAGTAATTTCCGGTCTATTCTTTTACCCCTTATTTTTTTAAATTATTAATGCATAATGACATTACATTCAAATTCATTCTAGAATATAAATTTATGAAAAAGTCATTACGTAAATATATTTTTCGCGACCGTCACTATTTTCATGATTCGCAAATTGGAGTTCTTTAATATTATGTATGTATTTTAATTTTATGAAAAAATTCAAAAAATCAATACAGATCTTCATAGTCAATTGATAAAAAATCTTTCGATCTCATGAAAGAATTTTTGAATTATTTTCAAAGTAAAAGCTATTTATAACTTGCAGGAAAGACCTTCGCCAAGTTCTTGGCCTGTTATGACTCCTTTGCAAAATATCAATGCCATATCAGGTCAATTTGAATCAAAATTTTTTAATGAGACGGAAATTTTGTAATACACAATGCAAACAAAATTTATTTCTTCCTTCGTTGCACTAAGATTAATGAAGTATATAAATATTATTCATGCGTAAGTTATAAATTATTTTTCTACTCAAAGTATAAAATTTTCAATGTAAACGATTTTATGCAGCACAAAAAGAAACACTAATATCTCTTTATGAGTTTTGTGTTAAAAATTTTTTTAATAAACTGTGGTCATAACTATATTAAGAGAAGGTTAAAGAAAATCAGATCTCTTACTCGAATATTTAACTAGGGAAATCTGAATTATACACAGTATCGGTTTTGTTAGAAAATTAACAACACGTGTGATAAATGATTGCACAAACATAACAGTATGTTTTTATTATCGTGAAATTTTCACTTCTAATAAAAAGTTAATGATCTTTACAATCTAATGTAAAACTGTCGACGAATAAAGCAAATAGCAATATCATCTGTGATCATGATGAACAAGCATAATTTTCTCAATGCTCATAGCCATTAGAAAACTTACAATATTGAATTATAAAAAAGGGGAAGCTAGGGTCTACAAAACTTCAAATGGTAACCATTCATACTTATACGGATAATATTTTAATTGCATAATCGAGGCAACGAGAAGGACGCAACCAAGCATTGGATCTGGTTGCCGTGGAAAATTTTGCTGTCCGACACAGAAATAAAGTGTTGCGGTATAGTTGCGGTGAAAGTGCCTCGTATGGGAGAGCTGAAAGAAGTTTTGCGCCTGCGAATCGAGTAGTGTTATTCCAAATGCTACATGATTTACTGAAGCCGAGTAGAGCGGCAATAGCCAATTGAAGCAAATCAACTGTTTTATACCTGAAATTTGATTTATTTAGTATTGTACGTTTCGTTCTCAAGAATTTCTGTTGATAGTTATTATTTAGCTCTGTACAGCTCTTTTAAACAAATAACTACATCTATAAAACAGTTAATTCGATAAACATTTCATCAAACTGAAGAATTTGAATTTCAATCAGTACTTTAAAAGTAGACTGTCGATTTTACAAAGATATTACAAAGAATTAAATAAAAGTTTTATTTAAAATCATTGAATGACTATTGTTATTCAATTTGCTATATATGCTATTTTAGGATCCATAAACTTTGACATCACACGCAAAAAGATTGTGAGATCTTGTACTTTTACAGTACGAGTTAAGCCGACAAACTGTCGAACACTTTAAAGTCGACTCGCGATGTTACACTTCGTTCTGGCATCAGAGTTTTCAACAAAAATCTTCTACTTTCGAGTTTGAGCACTACCTACTTATGGTATTTCCTTTTAAGATATGTTTTGCTGTGTTACGAAAAATTTTTTTTTACATGCTTGATATTTATTGTGCGTAAGGATCTTATCTCTCATAAAATCATAAAATCATGATTTTGCAAGCAAGATTAACGTATAAATAATAATAATCACTTTGTATCATATAAATTTTAACTATTAGTATATTAGCTAATATATTCTAAGTATATCAATTAACCGAATATTTTACGTGTCTGTAGATATCTAATAGTATTTTTAATGTGAAAGCACAATTTTGGTTTATTAAATGTCACACGGATGTCGCCCATATACTTAACTGTTATTTAATTAACTGATTAGTTTTATTTCTTTTGATACTCTGTGATTGGTATATTATATTAATAATATATCATTACGCGTGAATAGCTCTTTATGTTTCACACAAGAAAATACGTTTTTTATCGTAAGAAAATATTACGACAATACATGGGAGATGTTTTATTGTACTCAAGTTAACTTCAAATATTGAGTTTCCATACATCCCGCTGGGATACCGGTCGTTTTGCTTCTCTCGAGTCATTTTCACACAATAAAAACAGTTACTGCACTGGTATAACTGACACTGTAAACGACTTTTAGTGCTCATCTTTGTCGCTTTCGGTAAACGATGTTTTCATTTATAAAAAGATGGCTACGAATTTCGTGGCCTGTTCACTATTTCTTGCTAACATAATATCTTTCAATTGTTTAAAAGTTGTATTTCTGCAAGATCCGTATCAATGAACTGAAATAATGATATTTCATGTATCATTTATATTTCAATAGAAATAATTTGATCCCTTTAATTAATATTTACTATTAATGTAAACAATCTTATGGTGCATTATCTTTAAAAAAGTTTAAAATGTATACCAATACCAATAATTATTATATTTTTGTATATCCAAGTAAACCTTCCTCATCTCTATCTATGATTACGCTTAGTTATCTGCGTTGAAATATTGTGGATGATGATTTGACTTTTATACTTAGTTTTCAGTATTATATATGCAATATGTTATTGTGAATTATCATACACATACACACACAACAATATATATATATTCGAAAAATGACTATGTTTGACATCTTATTTATAGAGTCTTATTCAAAAAATGTCAATATGCAAGAAACAAAATAAAATATTTTAACACGACAAAATCAAAATAATTTTACTAATATTAAATTTTTAAATTGATGAAATTGTGAGACTGAATATAACCTTAAAATAAAGGTTTAAAATGGTAAATTACATTAATGGCATATCTAATTAATAGTATTAAAGTATTTTGTAAATTACTGTTCTCCAAAAATGTAAAAATACATAAATCAAATAACATTTTCGTCCAACGATATTGAGAGAACAAAATTTAGAAACTTATTCAGTCAATTTTATTTCTTTTTATTATTAAGTTCTATTAATAAGAGTTTTTTTTTATTAAACTAATGCTTAGATTTTCGTTTCTTACAGGGGCAAACACATAGCAACAGAACCTGTATTTTACAATGCTTCTACTATCGATTGTTCCTGGGGCGAGATGATTCGCAAAGGTGGTCGAGCTAGTCGGAAATTCCAGTATCCTAGTTTCCATATAAGAGGCATTAGTTCTTCAAGGATCTTACATTGGTTTATTGTAATATTTTTTGAATGGTTACCCTCTTTCATTTGTGACACGATACTTTACATATTTCGACAAGAACCTAGGTGAGTATTACTACATATCATAATCATTCATTAGATGTATATTCGATAAATATTAAAATTTTTGGTTACATTTTCTTATTTGATTTCAAAAATATTGATTATTTTTATAGAATACTTGCCGAACACAGACGTGTGCGTAAACTGTTATCAGATTTCGAACCAATGACTACACGGGCAGTGAATGTGAATCGACGAAAGATGTTTGATTTAATAAAACTTTACAGTCCTGAGGAAAAAGAAGCATTTCCAGTTCGCGCTGAATTCGACGTCGAGGCATATTTACTTTGCGCTGCTGCTGCAACAAGACGTTATTGCGTCAATGAAGCTAACCTGAAGTTTATTCAGTTTTTTATGCCCGCATTCTTTGCTATCATGGTTCTTGCCGTTAGCTATTTTTATTATAACTGGGAGAGAATTATGGATTTGTTCCCCATACAATGTCCTACAAACGAATAGATATAATTTTAGTAATTGACTTGAAAAAAGATAGAAAAATACATACAATCTGTTTTACAGTGGTTTGATATTTTTTGCGGGAATTGGCATGAAATTACATAAAAAAACATATTTTTTTGGATAAATTATTGTATGATAAAGAAGCTGCCATCAAAATTTGAACGAGTAATTGGCATTTTATTAATAATCAAATGATGTTGTACAAAGTTGTGATTCTATACTTTTGTATTTAATTTAAAAAATGATAAATTGATAATTTTAAGTTGAGAATATAAGGCTTACGTGCTTATATCAAAATTTTGTATGTTTCGTTAAAACTAGTGACATCAGACGCGCTTTGCGCACTCTTATCTTCTTTTTCATTTCTTGTCATATTGATTAACATATTTAATATAAGTTACTTGGTTCAATGGTGAATTTGTTTACAAAACACATATTACAGTGTATATTAGTAAAGCAGTTTTACGTAATCAAAATTTATAATTTATTATATCGAAAACTGCGTGTTCTATTTTTTTAATAAAGATTGCGACATTTTTAGATTTATTTCAATCTTACACATTCAAATATTAGATTATCGATTAGTAACGGAAAATAATCAGAAAAATTCCAAAACATAAATTTTTCTTTTACAAAACGATTTACTCGCTACTTGTTTCATAAAATAAGTGTTGAAACAGTAACGCTGCAGCCAATTTTTTTGCTTTCATTATCTTTAAAGTGATCCATATCAACTATGATAAAATGAATTTTTACTACTAAAATCTTAACTCGAAACTACGTACACACGTTTATTTGCTGCCACATAACAGTATATCGCATGATCATATCTTAGTCAATAAGATCACCACTAAAATGTTTTAATATGACATTCATCACTTTTTCTACGGAAATAGAAGCTTCTTATTTTTATAGGTTATGCCAATTATGTTGATTGTAAAAAATATGACGTAATCTAACTTTCACATGTTTTCAATTTTTCAAAGGACTATTCGAGTGAGTTTTAATTGACACAATATTCGATTATACATAAATAGACTTGCTCAACAAATATGTATATTATAGGGAAAATAACAACATTTTATAATAATGCTTCATTTCTTGTTCAAGGTTTACTTGGGTAAATTGCAGATACATATATATTTCATAAGTCAAAAAAATTGTATTTTATTCCACTTCGAAAAAGGTACACTATCCGTCAATCACTTTTGCCATGCTTACCTCAAAATTAGGCAAACTTGAAAGTTTTGTATATCGGTCGGAAATCATCGTATCACAAAAAACAGAAGGGCATTTTAAAGGTAATTGCAAAAGCTTCCATTTAAGACGTGCAGAGACTTAAAAATGAAAATATGTGTTTTTTACAGTAAAAAAACTGATTAAAAAAATTTCAATTTTTTTAACCTCGACTTAAATTTTTTAACTTCGTTTTAAAATGTCTAGAGACGTAGTAAATCATAAAAAAACTAAAACTAAGCGTAAAAAAAAAGTTAAATTCCTTTATTTTTTTAATGCGCTAAAAAATCGAAAAAAATTTTTTTCTCTATTTCTTTATTTTGACTTTATTTTCGTATTTTTGGGCACAAAATGAAACTTTTTTCTCCTTGGAATTTTTTTTCCAAAACGTACGCAAGTCGAAGTAATTGAGGATTGAAAAAAATGGTTATTTTTTTACAAAAAACGCCGTAACTCGGTTAAAAAACATCGGATAGAACCCCGCGGGGGCTAATTTTAAAGGGAAAGACATTACCCTCCGAACCCCTCTGGTCGATTTGCCCTCCACCGCCTGGTTCTAAATTGGCATTGATTTAAGTCGAGGTTAAAAAAATTGAAATTTTTTTAATCAGTTTTTTTACTGTAAAAAACACATATTTTCATTTTTAAGTCTCTGCACGTCTTAAATGGAAGCTTTTGCAATTACCTTTAAAATGCCCTGCTGTTTTTTGTGATACGATGATTTCCGACCGAGATACAAAACTTTCAAGTTTGCCTAATTTTGAGGTAAGCATGGCAAAAGTGATTGACGGGCAGTGTAAATAAAGCATTTATATAATATATTTCTTTTTTGTAATCTAATATTCTTATATGAATGTTAGTTCACCTCTATTTTAATAAAAGTTGCATCTTTATTAATACTATTACACGTCTAGTGCACCTCGTGCGCTTGGCTACCATTTTAATTTTTTTATATCTATTTATAAGCCTTTCATAAATCAAAATATTTGCGAACGAATTGAAATACTTCAATACATCATGAAATATATGATACGATTATATCATTTTCATGATTTCATAATTATCAACATTAAATACTAAATGAATTATCAACTAGAGTTTAAGGTCAGTACGAAAATTATTTCATAATTTCAAATAAATAATCATAGAAAAAATTGTCAAATAATATTATTTCCTAAAATATTGATGTGTAATCTTATTCATAATTTATATTATAAACAATAAACTTTAAATACTAAGATCTTTTAGAGTTGAAAATTCAAATTAATTTATTATATTCGTAGAAATAGTTATTGGACTTATTACTAGATATTTTATTTAATGTAAACACATATTTTTAAAACATTAAAGTTACAGTTTGTAATCGGAAAGTTAGTTTATCTACAAAACATTTATATTTCATATATTTGAATTTTACAATTTATCACATGGAAAACTTATTTTATCGATCTTTTCAACTCTACTTATTCTATTATTATTATTCTACATTAATATTTATCACTATTATTAAACATAATTTTTTAGCAGGATAGCCACAAAAAAGTGCAACGGTGCAACTATGTAATACTATACTAACAAGGAAACCCCGCCAACCCGACCTTACCGATTTGTTGTAATCGGTGATCTTTTGATATGTTGTAGATTATAGAAAAATGAGTAACACGTATCGTTTTTTAAAACACCTGTTTAAAAAAAAAACCTGGATGAAAAAACACTTTGAGCGGGTGAAATCTGCCCTCAGAGTCTACCCTCCAAAATAAAATTTGCAATTTATCTGAAGTTTTAATTGATATGTTACAATGAAATAGATTTCATTTCACTTTTCATATAAATGTAGAACTAATGCATGCAGGTCTGACCATAACGGATGCAACCTGATCTTTGTTTGTTTTATTGACAATTCTACCATTTTTGTACATGTTTTGATGAAAAAACATTTTTAATAAAACAAAAGAAAAACTAGAAAAATATTATTGTAGGTTGATTATAATAATAAAGTTGACCCGTTCGAGCCAGCCCCTATTTTCCGAAATACCTCCAAGAAAGGTTTTTTAATATTTTACAGGTTCTAATTGACAATTGACTACGATACAGATTACGTATAAAAGTAAAATAGTCAATAAAAGAAATAAGGGTTGCATCTTTAATGGTTAGAACTATGTGTACTCATTCTACATTTACATTAGAAGTGAAATGAAATTTATTTCATTGCAAAATATAAATTAGAATTTGAGATAAATGGTAAAATTCATTTTTGAGCGTGTACTGTGAGGGAAAATTTGACGCCGTCAAAATGTTTTTCACCGATAAAATAATTACGTATTACTTTTTTTATATGAGCTACAACATATTAAAAGAATATTGCAATAGGTGAGGTGTGATTGAAGGGGTTTTCTTGTAAGTAACTACGGAATTCGCCTTCGGTTGGTAACGCAAACTAGAGTTTTGAAAATAAAGCCTTCCTGTGCGTGATTTACAACGTATAAATTTTGAACACGATAGTCCAGAGTAAGCGGTAAAGCTACAACTTTGAGGTTAAAGTGCGTGTTTACTCTGAACGGTCAAGATAATGAAAGGTAAAGATATGAGTTTCATGCAATTAAGGAGAAAATGCGTGATGTGGATAAGTAGGCCAAGAGATAAATTAGACTGAATTTTTAATGAACGAATACTTAAAATAAAGTTATATTTAGGGCATAAAAATACCCTAATTATGAGTTATAGGTAAATATATTTATGAGTTATGATAATAGTTATGAGTAAAATAACCTAGTTATGGGGAAAGTCATTTAAATATAACGAAAATACAATAAATATAATAAAAGATTTTAAATTAACTATTACTAGTTATAATGTAGAGTGTAGGCTCGATTTATCTGATCGTCTAAGCCGGATATTATTGAACGGTCGTTCAAAATTAGTAGCTAAGTACTAAGTTATCACGCGATGCCGCACTTAGCCGCTTGCACGTGTTGTGCGAGAAGAGAGCCACCTCCTAGAACAGCGCGGTGCTAACGTCTTGGTTACGGACACAACCCTCACCGGACCAGCCCTACCGATGGAAATGGACCGAGTTGCTGCCGTTCGAGCCCCCTTAGCGTCGGAGATGCTTCAAAGAATGCCGTTAAAATATGATACTTTGTACAAGCGAAAATTCAATCATTAAACGAGCTTACTTAGGTAATTGTTATCGGAATAATATGGAGAACCTTTTCCAAACAGATTGCAGTATAGTCTATTATAATACACTAAACCATATGTTTGCTTGCGGTGCTACAGTTACATATAGCGATATCTCTCGTATTTCAAAGTTTGTCATTACCAAGAAAGATAGCTCTATGATCAGTCGAGGAAATTAAACCTTCCTGAAATATCAAGAAATGAAAAGAAATATCACTTAAAAGGTAGTTTTAGTAGTTTTGATGTTTTTAGAACTGTATAGCCTCATAAATGATACAAAACGGAATGATACAAGAGAAAACAGTAATCTGAAAGAATAAAGTATTTGTTAGGTTTATTGATAAATAAAATAAATTCCAATTCATAAAAATCACTCGAAATAATAATATAAATAATAATATAAAAGGTATAGTTAGGTTAAATCTTTTTTATCTTTAGATATGATAAGGAATAAGGAATTTAAAGATTGTATTATTTGAACTTTCATTCGAGTTCTTTTTGATGTGCTGAATAATAGCATTATCTACCTTAATGTGTAATAAATAAAATATTGATTCGTGTATATACTTAGATGTTACAGCGCATAAAATTTATAAAAAGGTAACTTAACATCATTTTAATCCAGTGTCATATAAAAGTTTAACCATTACATTCATACTGAAAGAACTATACTTTTGACGAGATACTGTTGCGGATTTAGAGAACGTACGTGTTTACCAGGCATACTGT